ATCAAGGAGTTTTAATTTGGGTAAGTTGTTAAATGACTTTTTACAATAAACAATTATAGAACCAAACAAAAAATATTATATCATATGTTTTTGTTACAACATGCTGGGTTTAAACTCGATGGTGAGTGACACAAGAACAACGCTAGAGCAAACAATACATTAGACCAATTAGCTAAAATGATCGACTACATACTGCAAAGTCAGCCATGGACCAATTAAAAAAGGTACTCCCTCCGTTTCATAAAGAGTGTCGTTTTAAGGTTTTATTTTTGTTTCACAAAGAGTGTCGTTTTAGGTTTTCAATGCAAAATTTAATGATTTTTTATGTTTTATGACTATTAGTATTCTGCAGATTGTTTTACTATTGGGCAAATTATGTTTTAGGTATATAGTTAATGATGTTTTTGTTTAGAAAAAACAAAAAATTTAATGTTTTCTTAATCTGTGTGCAAAACTCTAAAATGACACTCTTTGTGAAACAGAGGGAGTATAAACGAAGTAACCGATTATAGGCGCAATCTTTTTGGGAAAATGAACAACATTTTAGAAGAATCTACAACATCATCATTATGAGTGAATGAATAAGTGACAAATATAAAAGTTAAAAAAAAATGAAATTGTGTGTAAAATTCAGCGAAAATTAATTGGTGAATTCATCTTACAATAAAGGATAACATCTTTAATCTTCTCATCCCTGTCTTCATCTACCATCGAACTACTACCGGAAGAATAAGCTGGAGAGGATTTTATTGAGTGGATGGAGCTACTCTTCCTTGTCACTTTCTTAGATCTTCCTCGTTGATCACCTTCCACCGCCACGTCAAAGCACATACACAGCCGCATAAATGGTTTCAGGAATCCAAAGGTTCTTCCATTTGTTTTTGGTTGTGACATTGTTCAAAGATGAAAATTAAAAGATCGATCTTTACACTCAAGAACACGAATCTTAAGAATACAAATCCACGACGGTGGTGTCTAGAGTCTATGTAAAATGTAGAAGATTTAAGTGTATCTTTTAGTTTCCTATAGATTAGGGATAATGACTATATGTAAACATACGAAAGTTAATTACAATTTTGTGTTTTGATTCTTTCGTTATTTTGTTTCTAGAACAAAAATTAGGGCATTTTCTGCAAAATTAGAAAGTTTTGATATTTCTAGAGAATTTTTTAAGGACTGTAATGTGTGTTAGTAATAGTTATTTCCTTATTTGAATGAGCTTATTAATGTGTTTTACTAATTTGTCAAGTTTTAGAATTGATGTTACGGCTAAATTTGAGGATCCAATTACTGTTACCACATTTTTGGGATACAAAATCTGCGGTAATATCGTTTATTCAAAAACGAAAGAATGAAAAAATATTGTTGAGAAAAATATTGGCGAAATCGATGCTATCTTTTGATTTGAGTAATCTTATAGCTTTGGTAAGATTTTTGTTTCCAACCAGCTTTTTTTTTTTTTGGTAGAATGTTTCCAACTAGCTTTTGCTAAGAACAACCATCCGATTGTTTTTCCATATATGTATATCTTTTTCGACACACTTTCTTCTTCTTTTTTTTCCTTTGAAATATATCAGCAAAATAAGTTACGCATGATATATTAATGATGTTATAAGAAAAAAGAAACAGAATTACATAAATGCTGCAAGAGCAATTTGACTGTCCAAAGGTATGAAAATAAAAGAAAAATATTTGGGTTCACCCCTAGTGGTGAACCAAATTCATTCACCCCCTCTTTAATAACCAATCAGAATATGACACCTAATAATAATAAAAATAATTTAATTTAACTAAAACGAAATTATGTATCGGTTTGGGTTTAATAGAAAAAGTCAGGGTTTAGATTTTATGATTAAACGAGGTTAAATATCGGTTTGAGTTTATAAACGGATTTAGATTTTACAATTAAACGAGGTTAAATATCAGTTTGGGTTTAGAAAGTACGATTAGGGTTTAGATTTTATGATTAAACGAAGTTAAATATCGGTTTGGGTTTATAAACGGATTTAGATTTTACAATTAAACGAGGTTAAATGTCAGTTTGGGTTTAGAAAATACGATTAGGGTTTAGATTTTATGATTAAACGAGGTTAAATATCGGTTTGGGTTTATAAACGGATTTAGATTTTACAATTAAATGAGGTTAAATGTCGGTTTGGGTTTAGAAAATACGATTAGTGTTTAGTTTTTTCACGATTAAATAAGTTTAAATGGCGGTTTGGGTTTACAAAGGAAAATTAGGGTTTAGATTTTGTAGTTAAACGAGATTATATATCGATTTTGATTGACAAAAAAGTGAGTTTTAATGATTTAATTGAATTATTTTATTTTGATAATATTAATTGTTTTAAATTTTTTAATCAGATGACATGGCTTATTCTAATTGGTTATTAAAGAGAGGGTGAATGAATTGGGTTCACCCCTAGGAGTGAACCCAAGAATTGTTCAAAATAAAAAGGTAGCTAGGGCCCAAAAGCCCAAAATAGAAATTACACCTTGTTACTACGTACCATACATGCTACACCATGATGTCTCTAGGTCAAAGCAGCAACGCAGTCTCGGCATAGTATTCTTTGCTTTCTCACACGATCAGATCCTGATCAATGGTTTGGGACATTTACCACAACGATGTGGCTCTTCCTATCAATCAGCTTAATGACGGTTTTGTATCTTATTCTAATCGCTTGCCATTCCAATGATCGATGAAGAGGGTCTAAGAGCAACCTTTTCGTAAACTTGTTGCTGTTTAGATTTGATAAACCGCCCCTAAGTTCTTAGCCGTCGATTCTAGCGCATAATTCTCTCTCGTCTCAACGAATTCAAGATAAATTGTCACATGGATTTTTTAACCCTCCGATAATCCCACGGAGTATTTAGATAGCGAACCAACATGAAGATCAATATTGTTTGGTGGAATAAATTCACAAATATGACATTTAATGATTATAAGTCAATGTAGCTAGCAAGTAGCATCGCATATAGTACTTATTTATTCGATCTAGTTAAAATCCTAAACATAAAAATTTTATGATAACAAAATACTTTTTTTTTTTTGTAAATTTAAACCTTTTATTACAAAAACTTTTAAATATTCTATTACTATTGTAATCTAAACCTTTTTTTTCCTTGATAAGCTGCAAACTTAACAAATTATATTTTTGTTTGTATCAAATAAATATACGCAAGTACTCCTATCACAATTAAGTCAAAATCACTTTCGAGTCAAACTTGAATTAATAATACAGCTAGGATGAATAAATGCCATCCGAAAAAAAGAATTTAAGGTTTGACTTCCTATTATTTCACAATTTATAAGTAATTTGTATTTATTTTTAATCATTACACTACATATATCGTATCGTAAACCCAAAATAATATCGGGATCGGAGCTTACCATAGAACTAATTTCTAAGGCTGCCCAATAAAACTTATCGGTGGTGATTGACGATGATAAAATAACAATTAAGGGTTGTTATAGTAATGATAAAATGCTAAAAACAATATACTATATACATAAGAGAATTCAACTTGGGGGAATAAGAAAGAAAGAGAATTTAACTTCGTAGACATGAAGGAATTGAGAGAAATAAGAGAGGCATAGGTCGACACGAGGGTCGAATCACGTGTTCTTCCGTGCGTGTGGCCCTTAATCTTGGCGTTAATCTATCTTAATCTTACTATATTATTATGGTTACATAATCTATGCTCTTAACGGTTACTAATCTACATTTGTACTTTAACATTTTGGTTTGTAATGAAAATAATACTAATATTCCCCACTATTCCAAGGATTATACTCATTAAATCCAAATATATTATATAAAAAAAAAACTATCGGTCAAGATGCTAAATTATTTGTAACAATATATTTGAATTGATCGGACAACTATCCAGGTTCTTAAAAGAAACTTAATTTGCTATCAAAGACGATATATTATGCATGTAATAGTAACTTATTGGATTTGACGGTATTAAGCCTTGTTTGAAAAATCGCTAGGCGTTAGTCGGGCACTCGGCATGGGCCTAGCGATTAATCGGAAAATCGGATTAAAATCGGGGATTAGTTTTAGGGTTATTTTAATATTTTTAAAATATATTAATCCAATATTGTAAAAATTTATGATTTTTATTACAAATTTATGATTTTTATTAAAATTTGAACACAAGTTATTGTAAAACATCACAAACTCCCCATTCAAATGATTGAATAACAAAAATAAAAGGTTTTTTTATACTTGCAATCTAAAAAATAATCGGGGTATATAAGATAAGGTGGAAAATAATCGGATTAGGCGGGAAGTAATCGGATTAGGCGGAGAATAATCGGGTTATTGATTTTTTAGGGGATTAGTCATTAATCGAGGCGGATAGGATGGGCCTAGCGATTAAGCGGAGAGTAATCGGGGCTAGGCGGAGATTTTTAGAACAGGGGTATTAAGTAAATAACTTGGCAAATAATGGATAACCAAAATTATAATATAATAATAATGTACCGACGCTTGGAAGTGTTAAAACGATAGAATGTATAGAAGAGAGTGCAAGTGATCAAATGTTACGATGCTTTGTTTAATAAATTTCAGTGGGGTCTTGCGGTTCACGAGAACAAGATGCTGAGAATGTAAGTGACTAATCATCTACACACTTATATAATATGATGGCTCTACGCTAATTAATAATTTCATTTGTGAAAGAGAGTAATTGTAGGATCTTACAATAGTTCATATTTTACTTGCACAAAAGGTTAGGTTAACCCAAAAAAAAATTACATCAACCAAAATTATTTTGATATTTCCCGTAATGCTCAGACCAGTCGTTGATAATATAAAATTTCAAGCGTAAATTACTCTTCATAAATAGAGTTGAACTAGTGATCTTGAAAATTTTCAAAAACCACTTGACAATAGATATAGTATTTGATAGCAAATAAAGAACGAATTTAGTTAGAGTTTAAACAATAATTTTTGAAAGCTTTATTACGATTGTTGAAAATGATTGCACTAATTCATATACTCTTTTATTAAAATGGTTTGTTAGGAAAATATATTATTTTAACTCGTTCTTGGATAGTATGAAACACAAATTTCAGGTCCAAAAAAAAATCTTAGAGAAATTCATCCAATCGTTTACCAAAACTTACAAAAATAAATGATTAAATCTCAAACATTTAGTGCTTTATATTAGTAAATCTATTAAGGACCAAATTCGAAGGTAACTTGACGAAGAAGAAACGGAAAAGAAGACGCACGGCTCGGCAACCGCCCACGTTTACTACGTAACCCTTTAACACATTTATCGATGCACCTCTGCTTCCACACCACATGCTCTTCCTCACCTCTCCATTCACATATACACACTCATATATATAGAGTTAACATGTACTCTAATATACACCAAGTGCCCAATTGCTAGATTTTCGCAATCTTTCACACCAAAATTCTCAAAAGAGTACATGAAAATGTTGCCGTACATTGGACACAACAGCTACCTGCAGCAGCACCAGTTTCCGTCGCCGGAGATGGAAATTCCGGAGAAATGGAAGCTTTCGTATGGACAAGAGGCTACTACTGCTCCGGCTTGTCCTCGTTGTGCATCGTCCAACACCAAGTTTTGTTATTACAACAACTACAGCTTGTCTCAGCCTAGATACTTCTGCAAGGGTTGCCGTCGTTACTGGACTAAAGGCGGTTCTCTCCGTAACATTCCTGTAGGTGGAGGCTGTCGCAAGAGAAGCCGCAGCAGACAGAACAGTCACAAAAGGTTTGGTCGAAACGAGAATCGGCCTGATGGTCTTAATAACCAAGATGATGGATTACAGTCCAGCCCTCCTGGTCCTGATATTGATTTGGCTGCGGTTTTCGCACAGTACGTGACTGATGGGAGCCCTTCTAGTACAGATAATACTACTGGATCCGAGCAAGATTCACCGATAACAACAACAACTCATACTTTAGATTCCTTGAGCTGGGATATCTGCCAAGAAACTGATGTGGATCTTGGATTCTACGAGGAGTTCAATAATCTAACCAAGAAGACCGAAGAAGATCAACGAGGGTTTGGTCAACTTCTTGAAGATGATCGAGAGGAGATCTTCGAGTTCCAGGGTTTACTCGATGACAAAGAGATTCAAGAGATCCTGGAATGTTCATTCTCAGAGGAGCCAGACCAGTTAATTTCTCAGGGGAGCTTCATGGTCAATGGTGATAATTGGAGTTCAACAGATCTTACCAGATTCGGGATTTGACCAGGAAGAGGAAGTTGGGTTCTTTCTTTTTGATCACATATACTTAATTTATTAAATATAGAGAAAGTACTATTTACACTAAAACTCATTCTTATATTGTTCATGAAGTTATATCATACATGAACGATCCCACGAAATAGGATACGTGGAGTAGATTACTGTATATTAGTCTCGAATAATGGATACAACTTCCACTTTCTATGTTCTTCTGGCGACCAGGCTAAGTTCTTCTGCTTTGACTTCTTCTCTCCTTTCGGTTTCGATTTTGGAACATACCTGTAAAATTCACAAATCTTCACTATTTCTATATGTTAAAAAGCAAAATCTTGACAGTTTTTCTCGTAAAAAAAGAAAGGAAATTTAGTTTGCACCTCTATCAAAACAGAAACTATAATTAACACTTTTCATCGATTTTTGGTTGGTTCTGAGTTCTGACATACTACGGACCTGAGTTTATGGAACATAATTGATATAAAACAAGCGACTTGCCTGATAATAATGTTGCGCAGCTGTTTATAAGTACAATCAATGTTTAGAAGGACAATCAATGTTTTAGCTCATGACTCTGTTTCTGGATGCCACTTTATGCTGCAACCAACACTTCAGATACAAATGCAGGGTATCAGTTGGTCATCAAAGGCTATTAGACATTCTAAACAAAGAATTGAAAGAAAAAAATATATCAAATTTGAGTGTACCTTGGCTTTTGATTTGATGGTATTGGTTGACAGCTAAGGGCAAGATCAATCGCCAGGCTTAGATCCCTACGCAAGTATAACATGTTTAGGTTTCACTACGTAACAACTTCTCTGAAATATGTTAAAAGCAGTAACATAGATAACGAACCTCCCAGTTACTGGAATGTTATTGCTAGGCCGGGAATCATCAAACTGGCCATGATAGACCAGCTCAAATGGTCTACGACCATCCTGTTCCATTTGACAGGCGAGAACAAGTTTGAGTTAATAACCCAAACATTAAAACAAGACACAATTTTCATAAGAAGTATTATTTGTTTGAGCTTGAAAAGGAGATATATATGGCTATCTTGAGCATATATCCATAATACTATATTTCAAATATTAGAGCTTTGTGAGTTCATCTTTACCTGCTATAGAAGAACAAATTCAAAATATACTAAAAACAGTAGACATCTTTCCTGCTACTTACCTATCTTTTATCAAAGATATGATCACAAATTACCTTCTTATACAAGAAAAACTCAGGGGTACAAACAGCTCCAAATTCTCTGGCAACCTCTTGTGACTGAGGCAAGAGGGAAAAATGTCACGAAAAGATCAGAATATTCGTAGAGTTACCTAACAATTAAAAAAAGAAGAAGAAGAAGAAGAAGAAGCACTGAAGACAAAAGATACCTCATCATATAAGTAAGGAAATGGGTATTTGAAAGCTTTTGCATCCTCTGCCATGAACTCAGGCCCATCCTGTGAAAAGGAAACGAACCTCAAAGAAACCTCATCTCAACAAATAAGCACTGAAACTAGAGAGTCACAAACACAAACCTGAGGATGAGTTACTACAGAATTTGAAGATATTGCAACAACAGCAAGACCTTTCTGCAGAAGTGAACAATATAGCTAAGATTCTAATACCAATGGAAATAACAACAGAGAAGTAACGTGTTTGGTACCTTCATATAGAAATTGCAGAGCTTTACAATATCTTTCTTCAAGTGAATCACAAACGGGCAATGGTTGCAGATGAACATTACCTAGCAAGAGTTACAGTATCATGAACACAAGAACAAAGCTTTATATACGAATATGGAAAACTGATATCAAACAGATTAAAGATACACTCACCAGTAGAGATGGATACAGTTCAAAGTCTTCTAATTTCCATAAGTTTCCAGTGAGTGGCTCTAGAAGCTATATAGTTCACTCACAAACACACACAAATCTCTAAGATTAGACATTCCTCGTTATTCATGACACAATTTTTAGTTTTTCCGGCGACGCGCGTGTCAAAGTTTTACCTCAAAATTGGGAGCTCTAGCTCCTAATTTTACTCCGGCTGACTCAGTTCTAGCGGCTCGAACCACGGCGCCACTTGGCGATGGTGCATTGACTCTCCGCCGCAGATTACTGAGGTCTAACCTTTTCGACGGCGAGAATATAGAAAGTCTCCGGGAATTGATTGCTAATGCGGTTCGTGAAGGAGGTAGATGTGAAGCTCCGTATGTCACGGTGGTTACGGCGGTGGAGGCAGCCATTGTAGTCGTTGATGTTTCTTCAATTCTACCGGAGACATAAAACACGCGTCAGTATCTTAGATGTGTCTAGATGATGGGCCGATATAGATAAGGCCTAGCCCAATATATAGCACAAAGCAAAACAAATATTTCGACAAATGAACGAATAAATTAAATTTTATCTTCTTTTAGTCCAGCCTATAAGCCAAAGATAAAAAAAAAAATCAAATTACTCCCTCCGTTTCATGTTAATTATCGTTGTAAGACTTAAATTTTGTTCCGTAATAGTTATCATTTTAGATTTTCAATACAAATGTTTGGTAAAAATTCTAGTATTATCCCTATTGTTAATGTTTTGGCCAATAAAAAAATTTATAAAATATATTAATAAAGGGTAAAACAGAAAATTTAATGTTTTTCTTAATTTGTGTAAGAAAACTTTAAAAGACAACTAAAACGAAACAGAGGGAGTAATATATATTTTTCTTTTGTTTTTACTTTTTACTTCTCAATCAAACTTGTAATATCCGAAAATCGAAATTAAAAAGTTATTTATAAATTAAGACCAGAAGAGGCCCAAGAGGCTAACTAAAAAAGAGGAAAAAAATACAAAGGTATTACAGTTTAGCATCTAGAAGAGAAAGGAATAAGCCGGTAACGTAATGCCTTAGCTTAAGTGATTATTAAAAAAATCTACCAAATTATTTCAACCTTCATGATAAATATTGTAATTATTTAATTAACAATGATAATATATTTTGATTCTAGTGATGTTAGAGGTGACGTAGGCCTTTTGCTTTCAAATCTTGCAATATATATGCGATTTACTTGTACATAACTAGCTGTATAAATCACCATAATAACAAAATTTTAGAAAACATTATTAGTAAACTGTAGAACTACTAAACTTTTTATAAACCTCCACCCACATATTTGGAACTCGTTGTAGCTAAGATAAATTAATCTCTCATAAAGTTTTCTTGTTTGAATTATAAAGAATATCTTTCAATATATGATAATAATAATAATAAGAATATTATTAGTACGACTCTACTAATTAATACCATATGTTCTATACAGAAAAATCAATTATTATCATAAAAGAGCAGATACATACTAATGGAGTCCTAAATTGTGTAATGTATGGACTTAATTTTCAAATAATAAACCACCTTATTATAAGTTATAAATTTAAATTTATAATAAAAGGATATTCTCTCTTTTTCGTTATAGTCTTATACAATTATTATCATAAAAGAGCAGATACATATATGTATAGTCTCAGGAAGACCTTACATATATGCTACTGTACTTCACGTTATAGTCTTATACAAATAAAATTTACTTCTATACGATTAAAAAATATCATAATGTTAGTGGCAAAAAAAAGGACAAGAAATAAGAAAAGCAAAATCATCATAAACCATCATGTAATAATCACATGTACGTGTTTAATTTTGTCCATCGACGGTTTAACTCGAGTAATCAACCATATATATGAATATGATGATACGGTGGTACGTCAGTCGAGATAGGATTGGATTAAATTTTTTTATATATTACTATCGTATCATGTGGATATATAAGTTCTTATTACCAACATGAGAATATATTTACTTTTGAAAAAAAAAAAAAAAAAATTGTCGAAGATTATTTAAAATAGAAAAAACTAAGTTATTTGGTAGTATATATCAAAACCTTTTTTGTTTTAATAATTTACAAAACCTTGTTAGGTTTGAATCGTTTGAGAGCTTTTTTTATTTATTGTGGATTTATGATGGTTGAAATGTACTTAGTTTGAGAGCTTTTCATTGTATGTTCTTATACTAATGATTTTATCTTTAATTTAAAGTACAGTATGATAAGTAATGTTTGATACAAAGGAAATTGTCGTATTAGGTAAGGTAAATTTGAAGCAAATTAAAGTTGTATATGAACTAATATTTAATATCTCAAAACCACATTTCGATTTAATGAAAATAAATATATACACTAATATAAGTGTGTATAGTGGTGCAAATGATTGGATACATGAACGAAGAGCTGACAATCCAAATAATTAAGAAATTGAGAGAAGATTCCTTTTATTTCATCCTTGCATGCCTTATGACCAACCAGCACATCTAAACGGAACCCTAAGCCCACTAATCAAATATTATTAGTGTTTTCAACAGTTAGTTTAATCGTTAATATCAACCATTCTATTATATTTAAACCTTTGGATCGATAAGAACCATAAAACAAAAATTAGAGGTCAAAAAGTGGGTCACCATCATCATAATCTAAGGAATCTAAGCGATAATTAGTCGATTACTATTTTCATGCCATATACACATATATTATATGAGTTATATATGGACCGTCTTTGCTGTTGAAGTTTACTTGTCTCCGCTTCTAACCCAAAACAATATTATTACTTTCAATCATATAATAACGAGGAACAAATTTAACGTATTAAAGTGGAATGCCTTTTATTTTCTTATATTTGTTTCTTCTCTTTATAATACAAAAGATAACACCAACTTGATGATTTAAAGTTATTTTTCTTAGGGGCAAATACTTGATGATTTAAAGTCAAAGCGATATGTTTAACACTAATATATATACAACGCTGGTCTTGTAATAAGAGGGATAAAGTAGAAGATCACGAAGAATAAATAGAGAGAATAGATCATGAAGAGAAAGAGATACGAGATGGAGAAGAAGAAGACAGAGCTTCAAATCGCTATTGAAGAGCTCTCTCTTTTCATCATAACTAAACCTGCAGATAACACTCAAGCTACACATATACCCTTGAGGCCTCTTCTCTCCTTCTGCAACTTAATCATCCAAGTTCTTGGTATCTTCATTTCTACTTTTCTTGGAAAATTATATATCCTCATTAATTTGCTTCATTGCTTTTGTTTTCCTAAGGAATCTGAATTGTCTATGAAGTTCATAATAAGCACAACTTAATGATTGTCCTGAACTGTTTGTTTAAATTTGGTGTTTGCAGATAAGATAGGACCGACAATGGCTGTTCTTAGACAAGACATTGATCAAAATATTCAGGTAACTAAAGACAATGTAACTTCATGCATATAAAGACAAGACAAGACCCTTTATTTTATTTTGATTTGTCCTCTTTATTGTTTGAAACTCATCAACATCATGTGTACGTATGCATGTATGTATGTAAGGTGGGTCTAAAATAATATTAATAAATGTCTATATAAAAAAAAATCTGATCAAACTTTTATGCTGATAAGAATGGCCAATACCCATAGACATCTTCTCAGTGCTTTTGTTTTGGGTAAAGATCTCTTCAAATAATTCAATTAATGTCAGCCTTATATAATCCCTTATTTGGTTGCTTTCATGAGGACTTTAGTCTATTTTGAAATGACTTTCTATAAAATGGCTATCTTCTTTTGGGTACTTAAATTGTCATCATTTACTTATGTTTTTGCTATTTACTGATTTGGGTGGTGTAGAGATTAGAGAAAGTTTGTGAAACGGATTCTTGTGTTTACTCCAATTTGGTTGAGATTCTGAAGAAAGAAAAGGAGGAAGGAACATCCAAGATGGTTGCTAGTTGCAGTAGAGCTCTTTTTTGGCTCACTAGGTATATTTACCTTGATTACTTTTTTTCATCGACAATATTCACTAAATTAATCACTGTATAATTTTATCAACTAATTAATTATAGAATTCTCATAACAATTACTATGCATACACATTAGGATATTGTAGTCTAACTCATAAATTGCACTTTTCATAGTTAGTTTGCCCTTCACGCATATTCTCTCTATTAGCACTACGTACTAGTTACAACTATGGACTTCATAAAAAATGGAACTACAGATGTGTGATTTTCTACACCCAATGATTAACTAATATACTCTTTAGTACTTAATCAAGTGTGTTTCTTACTATATTCTATATATCACATAGGACAATGGATTTTACTTCTGGTTTACTACGATTGTTGTCGAAAGAGATGTCTTCGAAAATGGAAGAACTTGTAGAAGAATGCTACATGACGACTTTAAAACCGCATCATGGATGGATCGCGTCTGCTGCTTTCAAAGTACACAGCATGATCACTCTCCTTCTAGCTATATATCATAGTTACTAACATCATTTTCTTATCGCATCATCCCATCATTTTTAATGTTATAAACATATAAATTAATTTTTCTAACATACATGTAATATCGTGTGGAATATGTAATATGAAGGTTTGTCTGAGGCTAGTGCCTGACAACAAGACGTTCATGGACGCGATCGGTGCAAGAGACGAGAGTTATGATACCTTAAGAGAAGACATCGATACCTTAAGCTCATTGTTGACACCTATTCTCAAAGAAATCTACTTTGTTCTGGTAATTACCATTAACATATAATTGATCTTGGTTTATATATTAGACAGTGAAAGTCCTTCATACGATTTCATTTTTTTTTTTTGATGTACATACATATTGAATAATTAGCATAAGCATGGTGCTTCATTATTTTCTCTTTCAGGAGCAATACGGGTTGAGCAGATTAAGATCGATGTAGGTGATGGGTCGAACAACAATTTAATTATTTAGTGGATTTTCGCTCAAATGATAATTTTAATTTAAGAAAATGTATATATATCTATATATGTAGTAAGATTTATTTGTTTAGTCATCCGAACTAAAATGATTTCTCCTTTTTTATATATATACATGCATATACGACATGTCTGTAAAATGGATTTATGGATGTAATTTCTTCTGTATATGCATGTATAAGCTTTTAGAGTACTCTACTCAAATCAAATGACTCTCATATATCTCTTAGCTAGTGTGGAGTCTATTGCAATATTAAAAACATGCGACATGATGCCATTGCCAATGCAAATCGACTAACATAACAACACCGGATTAATAAACATGTGACATGATGCCATTGTCAATGATTTGTTGACTAAACCAATGCAAATCGACTAAAAAAACAACTCAATTCAATTCAAAATTACAAACGATACTAAAAAAAACTTTAAAAAGTAAGAAGCAACAGTACTAAAAAAATAAAAATATCGTTTTTGGTATTGCTAATTTTTATCGTTTTTATGATTAATAGTTGTGAAAACCATAAATTTATGCAATACGAGTTACTAATTAAGGTTCTCACGTATAACATCTTGTTTTATCGTAGAAAGAACACGAGATTAATGAAGCATAATAGTGTTTTCTTTAACCCTCACATAATAAAATTAAATAAAATTTTAATTAAGGAAACTGATGATAAAAAAACCCGTTACATTACATGTGGACCAAGATGTGGATCTGGGCTTAAAACGTTCATGATCTCTTCCTCGCTCACGTCGAAAACATCTCTCCGAAGTTTCTTATTACCACTGTTCAAATCGTTAATTGTCCTGAAAAAAAAAAAACTTCGATCTTTGTTCGACGAACAATCCCACACTCTTGGTCAACGGATTAGAAGCAAAACTCTGTTTCTGGTTCCCTATAATTCACCGGAAACTGAAACAAATCCCAGTGAGTTTTTTAGTTTTCCGTTACATTCTCTGTCTCAATTCTGGATTTTTTCACCTGGGTTGTGCTCGAATTTCCCTTTTAATGGTTTTCGAGATTTATCTTCAAAGTCAATGATCTGGGTTTGAGCAAAGTCTCCATCTTTCTCTTAAATTTCGAATTTTGATGATCCCACGAGTTAGTCTCCCTATATCTGATCTGGCTATGCTTAATCCGCCACATTGTTGGTCTCGAGCTCTGGATTTGATTGTATCATGAAAAACTATTCATTTGGATCGAGTAAGGCATTTCATGCGTACTCCAGAAGTAGTGATTTCGATTTAGAATCAGGAACTATCAGAAAATCTAGAAAACCAAAGAATTCGTTTTCGAAAATGATCAAATCTCTCGGGAATCGTCTTCACCACATGTTCAAATTGCACCCGATTCTCGTTTTCATCTTTTGCCTCTCGTTTGGTATCACAGTTCTGATACTTCTATCGTCGATTTACGAGAACCATTTTGGATCAACGGTTACTTATTATAAGAAGAAAGATTTGGATAACGATGGTTATCCATTTGCCAATCTGAAAAACCTTGTGATGGTAGCTGGACATTCTGTTTATACGAGTAGTGATTGCGGTAAAGTTGATAAGGAGGATTCGTGGTTCTTGGAGTCTTATCAGAAGAATCCAGGTCAGGCTGCAACGTTCTTGAGTCATATACAAGAAGGTGTTGAAGCTGCAGGGAAAGATGATGAGTCTTTGCTTCTATTCAGTGGTGGAGAGACTCGTAAAGACGCAGGACCTCGTAGTGAAGCTCAGAGTTATTGGGCTGTCGCTGAGTCTAAAGGATGGTTTGGTGAGTCTTATTGGTTTTAACTGCTGTGTTTAGTTTCTGCTCTTTATTGACTTGGATGGTAAAAATGTGGTTTGAGTATTTGGGTTGTGTTAATGGACAGGTAAGGATGAGGTGAGGTCGAGGGCATTGACGGAAGAGCATGCCAGAGACAGCTTTGAGAATCTTCTCTTTAGCGTTTGTCGATTCAGAGAGCTCACAGGCTCTTACCCACAGAACATAACAGTAAAGCCTTTTGCTTCCGAATTTCGCGCTCTTTAGTAAGCGAAAGGTTTTTCATTCTTGTGATATTAATGTATCATCCTTCATGCCTGGATCAGGTAGTGAGTTATGATTTTAAGGAGAAGAGATTTGCGCATTTGCATCGTTCAGCAATGGGATTTCCGGAATCAAGATTCTTCTACTTAGGAACCCCAGCTTCTCTATCATCCAAAGAAGGCGCTCTAAAAGGCGAGGCTATGGTTAGATCTCAGTTTCAAGAAGATCCATACGGATGTGTTGGTTCGCTTTGGCGTAAGAAGCTGAAGCGTGACCCTTTCCACAGGAGTATACCTTACCCTAATGGTTGCCCTGAAATAGGGGGATTGTTCAGGTACTGTGGTTCAGCTCCTTTTCCTGGCTCTCTCCCATGGGACTGATCTGTGTAAGATCTGTACTAGACTTGCTTAGAGGAACCAATACTTGATCAAAGAGCTTATTGGTAGAAACTCTGTTTCTTTTTTGTTGTTACTTTCCATCAATATTTAGATTATACAGAGAAACTTTAGAAAATTTTGTATTCTCCTTTCATGTGTTGTCAAAAACCTAGAATTTTACTTGTATCAAATGCAATTTACCTAAAATAAAATTTTGACATTTCTATCCAATAACAGATCTCTAAATATTCACTATTTTTTTTATTTGATAAAAAAGAAACACGGTATTTATCATCCATGTTCAATCAAAGGAAACAACACAAGTGAAGAAAAAAAAAAGAATAGTAAAGAGTAGTTGTTACTAAAGCAACAACTGCTAGCTCGGTCTCAAAACGGTTTGTTGTTCTGATTGTTGGGTTTGGAGGAAGAAGATGATGATGTCCTGGTTTTTGCAAACTCCATCAGGTCTTTGAAAAGGATATCCTCTGGTTTATCATCTTTCTTTGGTGGTGTGACAGCAGCAGCAGAGGCTGTTGGATTCAGAGAGAGATTCCGGGATTGTCCCACAAGATCATCGTATGATGATTCAGAGCCACTGCTCGAGTGTTGGGGAACACTATGCTGGAAGTATTCTGGTCTCTTGTTGGTTCTAGCAGACATTGAGGGTGGATACTTCCTGGGTTCCTGAGTATCCCATGGAGCAGGAGGCAATTGTTCAGTTTGGTCATAAACTGGTTTGGTGAATAAAGCTTGCTCAGGGGATTTGCTCTGGGGAACTGGTTCATCAAAAATAGGAGCGGAATAGTCATGGTTTGATGATTGGGATGTACTCGGAGGCTTTACACTCTCGAAGGTTTCTTGAGGTTTGTAGACATCACCACTGAGGAAATCCATAGCACCAGAATCAACATGTACAGGCCTCATTGTCGATGGTGGAGGAGGAAGAATAGGGTTGAAATTCCCTTGTCCAGCCCCTCGTGCACTTTCTCTTTTCGACCTGCAGAGATGAGTTCAATGAATTCTAGCAATCCAAGTCTTGGGATTCAACTGAAATGAGTCAGGGATGGACATTACCTATGAGCTAGCTGAGAAAAATCATCATCTGACTCATCATCATCATCAGCATGATTGATGCTAACAAGCGGTATTGGAGTGGGAGCAGTTGCAGGAACAGAGTTTCCCTTTGCCTTATCATCATGGTGCTGAAGAACGCGCTGCAGATTGTCATTCAGTGCCAACCCTTGACACATAAGTTCCTCATCTCTGGAAAAAGGAAGGAGAATCTTTCTCACTATTAACAGAATCTATCAAATGGAGGAAACAACAGGAGGATGAAGGAGAAAACAAACGAATCCTTACGAAGTAGTATTCACCAGAGTCATTACACGTCTTTGATAAGTACGACATTGCTCGACCAAGTCTACTATAAGTTCTTCCTTTAAACCCTGTCACAGCATTTAGAACAGTGAGTGTTACAAATCAGATCAAACAACAGAGCCATTAAATCTAATCATGTTACTATTCTACCTCTGGATGACTTGGATCAAGAGCCCCAAGCATGTCTGTCAAAACATCAACTGATCCCTGAGCGCTTTGAATCTCTTCCATGCTGAAAAAGTGAAGATACTAAAGTCTATAACATGTTTGAGACACGGAACACAATATAATTGGACAGAAAGAGAGCTTTGAATAGAAAACTCTACAAGAAGAGTATACCTGAGTGCAGAAGCATCATCACTTTGCAAAGAGGCCTGAATAGCAGCATCTTCATCTGATGCAACGGCCTGAGCAACAATAGGCTGAGTCTGAGGTGGAGTAAAGAACGGTACACTGCTCTCGGTTCGAGGTGGGAATTCAACTCCAGCAGACTGAAGTATTTTAAAGGCAAAACGATTATCAAAACTTGGAGTCATACTATTAATATATATATAAAAGGCTCGAGTACTATACCCTAAGTTCATTATAAGCATTGTAGTACTGAGGGAATCTTCCGCCGCTTCCACCAAAAGCTTCTTGCCATGTATCTAATAAACTAAGTATCTTTTCCCTCACAGTCAAGTCTGGCTGCATAAATTAGTTGGTAAATTTCCAGGTTAAGAAGATTTGATAACAGAATTAAAATATAACAAGCAGGTGAGAGATGGTAAATAAAAACCTTTTTCTTCACTATTTTGACCATATCAGGTAAAATATCACGGTCAACAATGAGCTGGTACACACTCTCGCCACAATTCTTACTCAGAGTTTCCAAAGCCTGAACCAACCCCCCGAGTATTCACGAATGAGAAGATCAGTACAATCCAAAGCATTGTATCCAACAATGAATAAAAAGATAAACACTCACATAAAGAGCAAGAATCTGGACTTTAGAATTTTTACTTCCTAACCGTTTCTTGAGCACCTTCACTGCTTCTTTTGCTTGACTACAGAAACAAAACAAGGTCAAAACTTTAAGCACCCTAGCCTAGACTCAATTAGATATCAGTAATTCAACTGCGGTGCTGAAGATCTCTATCGACTATCGTCATTCAAACGACTTTACCTTGGTTCCATGTTGATAATGTCACACAGTTCAATGTTGATAGCCCAATCTGGACCAATCAGCATATCATTCGTAGCCCTCTCAGCACAAGCAGCCGCATTATTCGCCATCGCAAGATCGCTTTTTCAATCAAACCCTAAAGCTCCAATTTCCCTATAAGTATAAACACAGGTTCAAACACCATTAATATAACCTCTTAATTCCAGATACAACAAGCAAGTTGAAAATCAAACACTGAATCAACATCACTGCGATCAAACTCTGAAAACAAACAATGGCCTCTCAAAATTCACAAACCAGCTTGTAAATTAGACCAGATCACGAAGCCAGAAGCATTCAATTATAAAACAAACCCTTAAAAGAAGGCAATTCAATGGATACACAGGACAGATTAAGCCAGCAAATTACCAAATCCAATAAACTGGAATTGAAGGACACAACACAATTAAGAAAGTATGAATCAAACAAAGTATTGGAAAGAGTTTCAAATTAAACCCATATTGTGTATACATACATCTGGAGAACACAACATAAAGAGAGATCATAATTGAACCAAAACAAAAGCAAAGACCTTTACCTGTCTATAGACTCCTAAACTTGAGAACAGATGATAGACGAAGCTAAGATTTATGCGTATCAAGATCGAGAATATTGAAATAATTAAAAGGGTTGTCGGAAAAATCTAAACTTGTATTCGAACACGATCGGAGTTTTGTGTCAGGTCATCATCAGCCTTAGCCGCCCATAAATCAACTGCGACTTCTTTGTGTTTTGGCTTTTGTCTTACTATATGCTAAAGTAACAGTCGGTGACGGAAACTAAAAAGAATCGTAATTATTCTTTTCGTTATCATTAGTGAAATTAATATACTAATAAAGTTCAGGTCGTAAGTAATGATCGATCATTAGCGAATAGCAACTGTATACCAAGAAATTTCCTAATTTTAAACCCAAATCGCTTTCATTGTTGACTTTTTTTTTTATATCGCGAACCGCAAGTAAACGCGTTTTCCAAACGCAATACACGCGCGTTTGGACAGAACAACAACTCCAAACAAATATTCTGTCTCATAAGTCCACAATGGGACCACTCTGTTATTTTCACATCAGCTTTCTCTTTGAACAAAAAAATGACACTCCTTTTAAGGCAAAGATTATTATTATTAGTTTTTAGGCTTTTAATAACTAAAGGTAAAAAATAATCAAGTAGAACCTAAACACCACTGTACATTAGAATTCAAAATCCAAGATTTGAGAGATTGCACATTAATCTCTCTATTTACAGAATTTAAAACCATATCCAAAAGGATACATAAGCTATTGCAGAAGCAAAAATTTATCCGAAAAGTGATCATCTTCGTGTCTGTTCTCAGAGCTGTTCCTCATAAGGTTAGACTGCAAAACGCAGACTCGAGTGTTGCGGTTATCAAGCTCTGCTTCTTAAGCCAAGAAAGCTTTGTTTCAGATATTGAGGAATTAGTCTCTTGAATGTAAGAAAAGAGAAGCAGCTACTTTTTTCATCCCTGCAATATACATCAGACAGTTTCAAACATCAATCCCCAAAAGTTTCAATAAAAATGGCAATGAACGCGAGTAGGAATCATTCCATAGATAGTCCTGAATCTTAACTTTACTTAGGATTATAACCTAGAGAGTTTCATTATTAAAGGGGGAGATATTCTTCAATCACACCATTCACAATATTTGTCAAAAGGTCTTTAAACTTGACAACAACATTTTCATACAAGCAACAAGATTGTAAAGGAATCACGTGATGAAAAACAGTTCAAAAGTAATCTTTTTCTTTCTTGGCAAACAAAAAACTTTCTTTTACACGAAGTATATAACTCTAGAGGAAGATGATCATCAAGATTTTAACAATAAGCAAATCCAATGAATTAGAGCAAATCTGATTAGCAAAGCAAATCCAAGTAGTATTGCGTAAGTAAGATATGAAAGATGAAAGCTTTTAATCTTAAGTTTGAAAACATACCTAAGGCTGCTTCGGCTCCTATTACTGTTGTTGCTACTGCTACTACCACTCCTCTTTGTGCTAGATTCAGACATTCTATTCCACCATTCTTTATCCTCTGCTTTCACAGTCTCCTCGGAGATCGAAGGTCTCGGCGAAACCTTACAAGCCTCCTCCTTTTTCTTCTTCTTCTTCGTCGTATCTTTCTTAGTTCCTAAACTAACCGGAAACATCATTTTGAGAAGAAACCCACTATTGTTTCCTCCTCCACTCCTTTTCGGATCAATCCGTTTATCACTCTTCGTCTTCCTCACAACTTTATTCTGCCTAATTGTTCTCTTAGGCAATTCATCGAACACCTTCCGTTCATTCTCTTGATTCACCTTCACTTCAACAAGATCCTTCAATGAAAGCTCGTAACACGACTCAGGCATCTTACTAACCATTTCCATAAGCTCCCGTTGACCACGAGCAATAGCTTGTGCTTTAGAATCCGGTGAAAGACTCCAGTAATCTTCCGGCCGGTGAAAAGGAGGACTCTCCGGCGGACTGGTTCTCCACAAAGTAGGTGAACAGACGCCGGAATCTGAGTGATCATCATTCGGAATACTTGGAAAACACAAATGGGTATTGAAGGATTTAGCTGAAGGATCTAACATTCTGATGATTTTGCAAGACTGGAGTTTTTAAAAACTTGAGTTTTGTTGAGAAACAAGTTTATAAACAATTAACAAGGGAAACAAACAAAAAAGAAATCTTGCTAGACCCGTTCTATGCATATAATACTGGAATTTATAAGGTTTTTTGTATTTCTAAGAGAAATAAAGTTTTTTTTTGCTACTAAAAATCTTTATTGGGCTTTAATATAGGAACGTCACGTTGTTCTCAGAGTGGTTAAATAGTCCCTATTTAATATGAGGACGTTGTTGTAGCTGTCCAATTTGGGGTTTAATTTAATTTGCAGATCGTATTCGTACCGGATTTGAGGAAGTGTTGTTTACTTAAGGGATTGGAGTTCTTAAAAGTCAAGTGCTTCTAGATCATCTTTCCCTAAAAAGTCATCCTTTTCTTTTCTGTTTTGGCACATAAAATCTTCTAGAGGAGTAGTAATTGATAACATTGATTAGTACTCGTCAATTGTCATCAATTGATGTTCGTGCATATGCTCACACTTAAACAGGTTAGAAAACTAAACACGTTAAAAGAATTTATTTGTTTCACGATAATAGTAGATCCTTAGTAGTAGTATTACAATAAATAGTTGTACAAATGGTGATATTTCTGTCTTTTTAGGAGCGTTGGCTTTTGTGATGTAAATAGTCTTTTGATTTTTGTGAAAAGCATAATCGACGATTAAGCGTGTTTAGTACTAGATGACAAGATAAACTGCGTGTTTCATTACTTTATTGTGTATTCCGTCGCAGATTTCTATGGAATCTTAACGTGCTCCTCGTTTATAGTTTAGTTATGAAAGACAGAGAGAATTGACTTTGGGATGTTGTTCCAAATAAAATTAGAATTAGCATGAAATTGAGTACAGAGAGGCCCAATAAAAAAAATCTTAGAAAGACTAAAAAAAGGCCCAAAAAAATTGGGTAAGATCCACCCGAAAGTGGAGAGCCTTAACCGGATGTGTTCGAAGGACCCGAAGGTCAATCCCGTCTCTGTCAGAGGAGATGCCAACCATCTCTCCTTTCTACGAACACAATTAATTTGCTCTCATCTTTGTGTTTATATACACAAACTAAAACCTACCAAAGTTCCGATGTGGGATAAATACATGATTTTTTTTTCTTTTTCTTTTCTGTGTGGTAAATTTGGACATGTAATTTGTAAATCTATAATAGGAAAAATCATATCATATAAATAAAAATATAACAGAAAATCTAGCATTACACAATTTTAGATATTGATGAACTTTTTATAATTAGTACTATAAGTTTCAGTAAATCACCATTTTTAATTTGTCTGAATACCAATAATTTAATTAATTTTAAATATGAAAAAAATCTTTGACAAAGTATAAATATGGCCAATAAATGGTAGAACTCCATGTGTCAACTATTTTCTATTTTTTAGTATGCTTTTGAATGGATGAGCAGTATAAATATAGGTAAATCTTAAATCTAAATCAATCATAATATAACCTATAGAATTTACTTTTGTAAAAAAATAAAAATAAGAAGAGAAAACAAACAAAATGAGGATGAAGATCATGAGTGTGGTGTGGATCACGATGCTACTAATGGCGTTAATTACGATGGGAGGTGATGCAAAGTCGGACAAAGAGTGCCAATTGTTGTGCCATAAGCACTGTCTACCCACTTCCATTGTTGCAGAGTGTCTCAAATGTCTTGGAATATGTGGGAGGACTCCAGCCGTTGCAGTTGGACTTGGAACCATGGAATCTGGCGAACACAAATAACAAAATATGGATGGAGACTTGTCTAGGCTTCCTTATATTGTTATCTTTATCTTAAAATTCGTATAATCCAATATTCACATTTAACCATTTTAATAAGATATCGAATCCTAAATTTCAAACACTATTTCGTACTTAAATCGGTGATAAAACATTTTCAGGTTAACTTTTTTTTGGTAGGCACATTTTCAGGTTAACTTGAACACTTAGATTATTATTTTCCGAGTGAGTTTAGCTATGAAATTATTCAATTTGAGAAAGTACTACCGAATTGGAACAGAATTATTTTAGTTTGCTATGATGAATATCATCGATTTTAACTCAGATGAAGTGTTGAACTTTGAGTTAAATTGAAAATGTGTTTGACACAATGGTACAATTAGATGTAATGGCATGGAACTTGATGGTACCAGGATTTATGCTACAAATCAGCTGTGAGCATGAATTTGAGGAAATTGGTTTGTTCAACAAATTGAACAATTGTAGTGACTAGCGACATGTTCATTAAATAATGTGGAATTTGCTCAAAGGAGAGCATATCACACAAACCAGTTAAGAGATGCATGCATTCACAAAATCAACGACAATCTGAAGTCAGTAACTCTGTTCCCACATTTATAGATACGAAACACACAAATTTAACCATATGTCTATACACTACAAGAATATTTAGTTTTAATAGCATTACAGAATAGCGTTTATGTGTATTTTGCTATTGTTGACTTATTCCTAATTGTTCTATAGCGTTTTTAAATAGATAAATGCTATAATATATTGGACTCGTAAAAATATTGGACTTCCGCTTATTTTATGTTTTTAACATTCGCTGTAATAGCACATACAATTTTTAAAACGTTACCATAGAGGAGTTAACCCTAATAATTATTTAGTGCCCGCCTCTATTTTTCATGGCCGCCAATGTTTTTTGGTACAAAATTTTTTGACTTATTTTTATCTGTGAACTAAAATACATTTCGGTGGCTGCTCCTTAACTAGGTGAAAAGGAGAGAAACAAGATAGAGAGCATATGAAAACATCGATTATCTTCTACTTGAGCGAAAATCAATTGAGTGAATCAATTTCTCGTTTGCACTTCCACATCATTTACCCATCGTCGGTTCCTCTTCCGCTTCATCTACCACTTCCCAATCTTTTTCTTTCACCAAATCCTCAAACCCTAGTTCCAGATTTGGTTGTTTAGGATCCACCATTTCGGATCCTGCTTCGTCCGCAACTTCACCGGCCTCTTAACATGCGCTTCAATCGACTGTTACACCATCATCTCTGTTCGGAGCCTCTTCTTCCTCATATCCACCTTCATCTCTCTTCGAAGCAGCGCCAGCAAGTGCTTTCAAGTCTTGGTATCTTGATTTTGTTTTTTTAAATGTAAGTTTCTCCTTTGAGTCACTCTTGTCGTCTCTCTCTCTATACTTATCTTCATTCGATCTTCCTCTCACTCTCAGATCTGGTTGTTTTCAGATGAGAGTTCTTAAGGTCGCTCCTGCTTCTGATCATATGGTTTATGCAGATTCAATTTTGGGCGCTAGAGATGGCGGTGGTTGTTAGTCTCAGTTTTGGAGAATCATCTCTACTAGAGAATTGATTAGGTTTCTTCCTCATACTCGTTCCTCAAGGTTTAATTTTTTTCAGTTTGTTATGAGTTATGTTGATTAATTGAATTGAGCTGATGTGATTTTTTTCACTCAATAGATCCATTTATTCTACTCATGCCGACAAAGCTATGATTTAAAAGCAATTCGTGTTTGTGTGTTTTGGATCTGAATATGAACTTTGTTTTCTCTACGAAATTACCACTTACTAGATTCTTTTTACACAAAGTTTGAGTCTTCACGTTTCTTTTTTGGTCTTGTTTTGTTGTTTAGCTCTTGGCAAAGGAGGAAGCTAATAATGATGATGATTTTGGAGAAGACGTTTCAAAGATTGAGGTCCAAGCGGTCTAAGGGTGTGAAGAATTGAGAAGTTAAAAACAAGAGTAGTATGAAATTTATCTTTAATTTGTCAAATTATCCAAAAAATCAAAAAATAAAACCTAGAAAACAATTACAAGAATTGTTACATATATAAAATGAATAAAACAATTTGTAATAAAATATAATTGCTATCGTAAAATATACAATGACATAAAGAAATCGTTATATTTGACTAAGATACGATAGTAGTGCTAAAAACCGCTATCGAAAGCGGCGGACCTATTATGACGGGAGCAGGCACAGCGTTTGTCAAAACGCTATGGAATAGTTAGATAGCATTATTCAGATGCTACGAAAAACCATTTTTCTTGTAGTGATAGGAAACAGAGGTAATCTCTAACTAACTCCCTATTAGTGATGATGTTAGTCCAATCCATAAATACAAGTTTAGGTCCAAGAAAGCTTTACTGTTAGGTTAGATGTTACATACCAATGAGTCTCTTTATATAACAATTCCACCATCTAAAAATATATAAAATCCTTTCTGGTGATTGTTGTGTAACTTTCAACTAATCTAAAAATGGAAAAAAATGTTTTCACGTGGTATCTATCAATAAATATCTTTTTTTTTCACGGACGTCATGGCAAATTCAAAGAAAAATATAAATGACACGCAAGTAGGTGACTTTACAAATTTGCTATCGTTGGATAAAGATCAAAAATCAATAAAAAGCTCAAGTACAGTTTGGTTTGGTTGTTGAAAAATCTTTAAATGATTTGCTATGTGTAGGTGTTACAACTTCTCTCAATATTTCATTTTAATTTTCTTTTCTTCTTTTTCTTTCAATAGTATTTTGTCCACTATAATTAGTGTAAAAACGAAAAATCCCAAAAGCGAGGAAGCTAAATAAATAATCATTTCTAAGAAAAAAAAAAGTTGGAGATGGATACGGATGACATGTCAAGTCCGACAAGGAAATACATGCACTTGTCGTCCTTCTAATCCTTTGCCCTTAAACATCGTTAAAAACGACAACTTCTCTCTTCTTCTTCGTCTACTCTTCTCCATTTTCTTCTCCTCTTCTTCTCTTGTCCTTATTTTTGGCAGACATGGCGATCTGGTTTGCTAGATCCAAAAACCTTGTTTCTAGCTTGAGACATAATCTGAATTTGTCGGCGATTCTCAACAAATGCGATTACTCTCCTCGTCCGATCTTCTTTTCAACAACTTCTCAGTTATCTTCCACGTCGTTTTTGAGTCCCGTCGCTAGCCTCCGTCACGAGTCTACGGCTGTGGAGACACAGCCTGATCATTTGGTTCAGATTGATGAAGACGATGGTCAGGTATTTTTATTTGGTTTTTGGATAATCCTACTTTATCACGTGGTGTTGTAGTTGTTATTTTAATTTGGGAATTAGTTCATAAAGATTAGCTGTGAATCACGCACGAGTCTTTCAATTGTTTAAAGAAAGAAATAATTAAATTAGTTCTTCTGAAAGCAGATGCTTCGGTTTAAAGGCTTTTAATCCGGTTCATCATTTTCTTGGATTTTAAGATATAAAAATGAAATTAGAACCAAATTTAGGTGAAACTGGTTGCCTAAGATAAAAATTCTTGCTATAAATCTCAAAAGTTCGAACGTAAAAAATATTTTATAGATTTATCAAAGTCTTTAATAAACAAAATTATTTTTTTACAAATTTACTTGGTTGTCGGTTTTGATCCGGTATGGTATCGCATAGTACATTACTACATTACATAACAACAAGTCAACAACAACAACAACAGTTAAAAGTGAGGACCACAAGTTACACGTATGAATAATATACTAAATCAAGTGCTGTATGGGTCCCACTTTGTCTTAGTTGATTTGAGTACGTGTACGTCTCATTCATTTAGTCAGAGCAGTCTATAGTAATTTTCACTATGATCCCTCTTCTTACTGAACTTTCTTACGTATACCCCAATAGTTTTTGATCTTTACACACAGTAAACCGTATTTGAAATTCTCCAGGAATTGGATTTTCCGGGAGGCAAAGTCGGTTACACATCTGAAATGAAATTCATACCGGAATCATCTTCTCGGAGAATTCCGTGTTACCGGGTTCTTGACGAGGACGGACGAATCATCCCCGATAGCGATTTTATTCCGGTACAGCAATTTCGAGAAATGTAAATTAGAGTTGGTTTAAGTTCGGTTTAGCACTAACCGATATAATTTCTGACTGAAAAGGTGAGCGAGAAACTCGCTGTTAGAATGTACGAACAGATGGCGACGCTACAAGTAATGGATCACATCTTCTACGAAGCTCAACGTCAAGGAAGAATCTCGTTTTATCTTACTTCTGTCGGAGAAGAAGCCATTAACATCGCTTCTGCAGCTGCACTCAGTCCTGACGATGTCGTTTTACCTCAAGTAAGCCGTTGTGCGTTTAAAGCTCTAATCACATTTGGTTCGGTTTTGTTTTTAACCGGGAATTTCAATGTTTGGTACAGTACCGAGAGCCTGGAGTTCTTCTATGGCGTGGCTTCACGTTGGAGGAGTTTGCTAATCAGTGTTTTGGGAATAAAGCTGATTATGGCAAAGGCAGACAAATGCCGATTCATTACGGTTCCAATCGTCTCAATTACTTCACTATCTCCTCTCCAATCGCGTAAGAATCTCTGAACATTAATCATTTGATTGTTCTTTTGTTTTTGTGTTTTTGCTGAAAATGTTTTTTGTGATGTTGATTCTTCAGCACGCAACTTCCTCAAGCTGCTGGAGTTGGTTATTCTCTGAAAATGGACAAGAAGAACGCTTGTGCAGTAACATTCATTGGAGATGGTGGCACAAGCGAGGTTTAGTAATCTTCAATTCTCGTTTCTTGAATAGGAATCAGAATTTCATGAATTGAAAATTCATATAGTTTTTTTTTGTGGTCTGGTTGGGGAGTAGGGAGATTTCCACGCCGGATTGAACTTCGCGGCAGTAATGGAAGCTCCGGTTGTGTTTATCTGTCGGAACAATGGTTGGGCGATTAGTACTCATATCTCAGAACAATTTAGAAGTATGAAACTAACTTTTCCTCTGTTTTTCATTACAAAAGAGACCAAAAACAAATCCTCTGTTTAACTGTGAGCTTATGTGGTTTGATTACAGGTGATGGAATTGTTGTGAAAGGTCAAGCTTACGGAATCCGAAGCATTCGT